GGAGCCTCTATTTGTCAAGTGCCACAGAGGCAGCCCTGACATTGGCACAGGTGAAGATGAATTTTCATTCAGAGCAGGGAGCCTTCTGACTCCATTAATCCTCAGGGTTTTGATGATGAATTTCTTTCTTTTTTTATTTTATTTATTTTCACTCTAACGCCTCCTCCCACTGCCCTGTAACAGAGTGGAAGGAACAGAACAGATGGTGCTTTACGTGGAAGACCGAGGGCTCATGAGGATAGAAAGCCTGCCCACTCTGGAATCACATGACCGCACGTGCAAGGAAAAGCCTTGATTTCCCCTGGGAGACACAGATGCAATGATGTGCGTATTCCCAGCGGAGGGTGGGGAGGGGAAGGCTAACGGGCCATTTACAAGCAAGACCACTCTTATACTAATGCACACCTCAGCAAGGGCCGTGTATATTAACAAAACAACAGGAGGGCCAGCACCCGAGGATTCCAAATCAGCAAAGTAAAATAAAGGCAAATAAAGGTTTTAGGACACTGCCACGCAAAGCCCACTTAGAAAGAACTAGTAAGGACGGACAGTGGTAGACGGCCCCTAGTTACCCCGCCATTGGCTCTGACCCAGTTTTAATCGGAAGAAGCCAGGATTTACAACCTGCTTAAGGACGGAGTTTGACAACTGCTCTAATCAGAGGAGCTGCCAACACAAGGACAGCTGTCAGGCCAAACTGTAATTCATGAAAAATAACAGCCAGCCCCCAAGATACCCTCACCATTATCTGCACTCGCTGGATTTAACTATACCTACAGTTTTATGAAAGTTCCAAGAGTAGATTAAGGGTTCTAAAATTAAACTGAATCAACAAATAGCTACTGAGTGCCTATTAAATTTTTTTAAAAGGTTAAATAATATTAAGTGACTAAAAAGATAAAATTTGCCCAGCAGATTCCCTGGCATTTGGTAGGGACTTAATAGAGGGTAATTATTATTACATGCTAAACTCAGTTTTGACAAGGTTAAAAACTGGCAAAAGTCTACTGACCTGGTTAAAAAAAACTAAATTAAAAATAAATTACTGCTATAAGTGATTAAGTTAAAATATTAATTTCATGAAACCTTCCTGGTTGTCAGAATATTCTAGTTTTATATATTTGTAATGCCAAAACCTCTAACTAATGATCTTATTTTAGTGTTTAATTATCTTGATTATAACATATATGATATTTATTTTGTTCTTTCTACAATGAATAATATCATCTGAGAGAGAGAAATAGAGGTTGTTTTACAAGATCAATTTTGGGCAGGATTCCCGAACCACGGATGATTTTTATTAATGTCTAAACTCTCAATAAACAGAAATAAGATTCTAAAAGCACACAGACAGCCACATATATCGATATGTGTTTGCTCACACACACGGTTTTGAAAAACAGCCCTGTCTCACTGACTGAGGTGACCAATGATAACGGATTTTATCTTCCTTCTAGAAGAGATTATCTTCCACAAAATGTCTGCTTTAAAACGATACCAGGACAGTAATTATTTAAGAAATTATGGGGAGAATACTGGAAGTGTAATCAGAAGCCCTGGCCAAGCGTCCGGGCTCTGCCCCATACAGCCTGTGTCGCCCCGTCAAGGTCACTCGCTCTCTGGACTTCAGCCTTCCGTTGGCGGACGCAGGATGGGCTCAGACCTGTGCTGGAAGGGCTGAGGGACCGCAGACATGAAACCGGTGACGCCATTTTATGTTGGGCCAGGTTTGGACTTCTCCTTTATGTATGAAAAAATTTTGAGTATAAAATACTTGTAAGAGGGTACCAAAATTATGTATACACATTTTCTGAAGATGAACTTGTTCATATAACTAACTAGCACACAGATCGAGAATCAGATCATTATTACAGGATCAGAAGCAACCCTGCCTGTTAACTGGGGATGGAGACGAGTTTTCCTGGTTTTGACCTTTATAAAAATGGAAGTCTACAGTATGTACTCTTTTGCATCTGGCATCTTGAACTCAACAGTATGTTTATGAGAGTCATTCAAAGACTTTGTCGCTGTGGTTCATTGGGGCATAGAATTCCACTGGACAAATACTTATGTTGATCAGATACCATAATTCCTGAATCTGAAGATTCTGTTTTATCAACTAAGAACATTATCAGTAAATACACTCTCAAATACTGACCCTTCCCTAATTTCTCCTTTTAGAACTCCTGTTAAAAAACACTGAATGCTTTCATTTTACACTCAGTGTCTCTTTTACATGTCCACCTTTTTCTTTCTCTGCTACCTTTTAGAACTATCTTTTAGTTCACCCATTTTTTCCCTTGTACCAATTCTGTACTTTAACCTATCCTTTGCAAGATTTCTGTATTTATGTTTTACTTTATTGGAGTTCGATTTTTTCTCTTTGGAGACTGCCCGTTCCTTTTTGGAGTGTTGTTCTTTGGTTTTTGATTCTTTGATTTTTAGATACATTTATTTCGGTAATTTCAATCCGCCGACACTCACCCAGGTGCATTTTGTAATTTTGGACTTCGAGCTCACGTTGAGAAGGCCTTCTTTCCGTAGGAATTTCGGGTTGCCTTGCTTGAGGATGTGCCCTTTTAAGAGTTTACATCTGTTTCTGCCAGGTCTCTAGGGACAATCAGCCTCTTGTTCGTACTGGGTTAATTTCATGACTGGAGGACTCCCGAGACAATCAGAGATTGTGACGGCGGGGCTGCTTTTCCCACCCAGATGCTGGTCTGTGGGAGCCTAGCTTCTGTTGTCTTCCTCTTCCTTCCTTACACCAGTGGGACATTTTCTTTCTTCTCACACACTCACTCTATGGCTATGGGGACCTTGTTTGCTGGGTGGGAGGCGAAGGACACCCAAAGTCAGGGGCATCCGTACATAGTAGGTGCTCAACAGATATTTGTTGAGTGTGTGAAATAAAATTAAGAAGGTAAGTCACATTCATAGTACTTACAGGTAATACATGTGTATGCTTCCAAATACAGAAGGTATTAAAAGGCTGATAGGAAAAAATGTTCATCCTATGCTTATATTCTAGCCCCTCCAGTTGTGAAAGTTCCTCTTCCTTTAGCCAACCAAAATTAGCTTTTTTGTGTCTCCTCCAGAGGTATTTTATGCATTTACTCACAAATGTGTACAGATGTATTCATGTTAGCACACTCTATATGCTGCTCTGCACCCTAATTCTTTCACATATCAATATCTTACGAAATTTCTTCTGCATCAGTAGAGAAAATATAGCTTATTTTAAAGCCAGTCAGAAAGCCTATTTGAAAAATCCCAACCCAGCTGCTGTCCAGAAATGTATTTTATAGAGATGAACCCTAAGCAGGCACATCCCCACATTCATAAAGGCAGATGCTCTGGACAGCGGACTAGGGACGACAGAGTGACTGACCTACAGTCTCAGGGCGCATTCAGTCCCAGTGAGCTGTTTCTACAGGTTCCGGGTGAAGAAATGAAAGGAAAACACAACACGTGGCACAGAGAAGGCGCTAGAGCCTGTCTGGGCGGCGGGTGAAAGAAGGAAGGGGGCGGGGGGAGTAAGCGCTGTGTTAGCAGAGCATGTGGGTGCGACTCTCTAAGCAGAGTGGTGAACTCTGAACCTTACGGCAAACATTTGGAGGTAAAAGAAAAAACTCACTTCTTAAAACCAGGCATCAGGAAAAAAGGGAAGCCCTGAATTCTGCACTGAAGGCCTCACGATCGCTGTGAAAGGTTTCTCCTTCCTCCTTTCCGCTTATCAGTGGCTGGCTGACTTAGGCCTGGTTGCCCAGACTGCATCACGGCTGCACCACGGCTGTGGAGGAGGCTGGGAGGTCTTTCTCTGGGTTGGAAATCAGGATTTAGAATGCCAGCTCTTGGTGGTGGTGCAAGGGCTGCGTGGCGGAATTATCACAGAAGCGTGTCTGAGGAGCGAGAGGCGGGCGCCGTGGAAGGAGGCGTGGGGGGGCCTACGTTCTCTCTCCTTGCCTAGTAAGTGTATCACTAGGTGAGTTATTAACTTCTTTGGGTTTCAGCTTCCTCAATTATAAAATGGAAAAAAATAACTACTTTAGAGGGATGTTTATGGAAAGGAGCCTAGAAATTACATGTACACTGTGTTGTGTATGCACGAATTTAATGGTATTCCTTTTAAAGGCGTTTGGTGATAAAATACGTACGCATGCATGTACGTGTGTATATGAGTAATTTTAATTAACAAGTATTTTAAGTACAGTATAGTGAGAGCTATAAAGATGAATAAAACAAAATTTTGGTCACTACAAATAGAGCTGCCATAACTGTTCTTAATCACGTCTCATTATATACATGTTTGGCAGTATTTCTAAGGTATACAAGGTCTGTCCAGAGAAAGTCCAGCTGTTGTTAATATAAAGAAAATGGTCTGCGAGACACTGATGTAACCTGGCAGTCAAGGGGACTGCACTGGAATACACATGCACGAACAATGACAACTTTGCTGTGCTAGTCAGCGGGGACGGTAGACTCAGCTGAGTGAACATGTGTACTGTGTGGCCACTGCATCCAAAATGACTGAGTAGCGCAACGAATCTGCACCCCAGTTTGGAACTACTACCCTTTGCAACAACATGGATGGAACTGGAAAGCATTATGCTGAGTGAAATAGGCCAGGTGCTGAAAGACAAATACCATATGATCTCACCTTTAACAAGAAGCTAAACAACAAAACAAATAAGCAAGCAAAAAAAAAAAACAAAGACACTGAAATAGAGAACAAGGGGACAGTGACCAGAGTGGAGAGGGAAGGGAATTTAAGGGGAAAAAGGGGGAGGGATTTGGAGGAACAAATAGGAAGGACACAGGGAAGAGAACTAAGGGGGGTGGAAATGGGAGGGAGGTGGGGAGCAAGGGGCGGGGGAGGCTGGGATGGGAGAAAAAGACAAAAACTGTACTTGAAAAATAACTACATTTTAAAAAATAAATAAATAAATAGCATCAGGTTTGAATAAAAAAAATAAAAATAAAATAATTTAGAAACATCTTACCATAATGTAGAGCAGTTTGACCTTCATTGTCCTGTAAAAGAAACAAAAAATACATTTAGAAGTTGAAGCTACTGCAAAAGTGTGGAAGTACATCTATAGCAAATATACATGGCATACAAAGTTCCGCAGGCTTATCAGACACAGGAATGAGGAAGTCAGTTCTGTGAGCCTCCTTGTAACTTTTGACAAAGCTGTTCAGCTTGGAGAAAAGGAGGCTGGTGCCTGGATTAGCGGTTAGCACGGGCTGGGGTCGGAGTGGAACAGGGATTTATTGTCCAGTGGGGACAGAGTTTCCGGCGAGGGCGGTGGGTGACAAAGTTCTGGAGATGGACGGTGGCGACGGCTGCACAACAAGGTGAATGTGCTAATGCCACAGACCTGCACACCTACATATGGTTGGGAGGTTAATTTTGCAATACATGTACCTCACTGCCATTTAAGAAAGAGAAAATGAGAACTGAAAGGTGCGGATAAAAGCAGTCCCCAGTAGAGAGAGGAAGTCTTGACAAAGATAAAAAGGGCAGTGTGAGACGGAGAGGGAATGAAAGTTCCCAGTTCTTGTCATTCCAACCCCATCCTTGCCTTTTTGGTGAGGAGAGTCATCGATGAAATACTCACAAGACAAATGTCATCTCTGTGTCAGTTGCAAACAAGAGTCCTTGCTAATACAGAATGCAAGGCACTTTATGACCCAGACCTTATATCTCCTCCCCCAGTCCCATCTCCCCCCCCATTTCATGACCGTCAATTACTAATTGGAAGCCCCATTTGGACTCCCAGACCCCCACACCTGTAAACACACTTCACTGGGATGGAAAACTGTCCTGCAATTTTAAAGACAGTGTTTGCTCTTTTCTTTTCTTTTTTTTTAACTTTTTTTATTGATTATGCCATTACATTTGCTCTATTCCCCCCTCCATTCCCCTCCACCCTGCATACCCCTCCCCCACCATTTCCCCCTTTAGTTCATGAACACGTGTCTCAAATTCCTTAGATTCTGTATTTCCCCTACTATTCTTACCCTCCCCCCATCTATTTTCTATCTACTGTCTATGCTACTTATTTTCTGTACCTTCTCTCCCCTTCCCCTCCTCCCACTCCCCTGTTGCTAACCCTCCATGAGATCTTCATTTCTATGGTTCCATTCCTGATCTAGCTGTCCTCTTAGTTTGCTTTTTTTTTTTTAGGTGTGGTTCTTAATAACTGTGAGTTTGCTGTCCTTTCACTGTTCATCTTTTTTATCTTCTTTTTCTTAGGTAAGTCCCTTTAACATTTCATATAATAAGGGCCTGGTGATGATGAACTCCTTGAATTTGGTCTTATCTGAGAAGCACTTTATCTGTCCTTCCATTCTAAATGAAAGTTTTGCTGGGTAGAGCAATCTTGGTTGTAGTTCTTTGGTTTTCATGACTTGGAATACCTCTTTCCAGCCCCTTCTTGCCTGTAAGGTCTCTTTTGAGAAATCCGCTGACAGTCTGATGGGAACTCCTTTGTAGGTGACTGTCCCCTTAGCTCTTGCTGCTTCTAGGATTCTCTCCTTCATTTTAATCTTGGCTAATGTAATTATGATGTGCCTTGGTGTGTTTCTTCTTGGGTCCAACTTCTTTGGGACTCTCTGAGCTTCCTGGATTTCTTGGAAGTGTATTTCCTTTGCCATCTTGGGGAAATTCTCCTTTATTATTTGTTCAAATAAGTGTTCCAGTTGTGGCTGTGCCTTTCCCCCTTCTGGTACCCCTATAATTCGGATGTTGGAACGTTTAAAGATGTCCTGGAGGTTCCTAAGCTTCTCCTCATTTTTCTGAATTCTTATTTCTTCATTCCTTTCTGTTTGATCATTTTTTTCTTCCTTCTGGTCCACTCCCTTGATTTGAGTCCCAATTTTCTTTCCATTACTATTGGCATCCTTTGTATCACCATTTATTTCAATTAGTTTAGCTTCCATATGTTTCTCTAATTTGTGACTAAAATCCACCAGTTCTGTAAGGATCCTGATAACCAGTGTTTTGAACTGTGCATCTGAAAGACTGGCTATTTCTTCATCACTTAGATCGATCGGTTCTGGGGCTCTGAGTTGTCCTAGAGCCATTTTTGGTCTATTCGTGCTGTTAAGTGAGCGGAGCAAAGCCTTAGTTGTTTACCAGGACGGGGAGACCCAGGTCGCTGGTTTGTGACGTTGTGTGTGGGGGCGTGGTCAGAGAGGGAGCAATGGCGGTCCTCTCCGCTAGCCCAGCGCATCCAGTAACTCCACACGCGTGGGGCTTGTTTATCCGGTCGGAATTGTGCGAGCCTGCTGCTCCGCGCCGGCTTCCCTTCTCACTGGTTTCTCCGCACGTAGATGTGCGCGTGACCGACGGACCGACCCGCTGTGCGCTCCGGCAGCCAGCTCGCTCGCGATCAACGCCCTCGGTTGCCTGCGCGCACCGCCCCGGGAATTTTTTCCTGCTAACCTGCTCCGCTGCTGGCCTCGCTCCTCCTACCGGTCCAGCTGAGTATCTAGTTGTCCTTTGGACTCCGTATTGTCGATTTTCCGTGTGGCTTGGTTGTGACTGCTGTTAAAAATAGTTGTTCTTAGATTTGGTTGTGCACAGAGGCGAGGTTTTTCCTCCACCTACGTCTCCATCTTGGCGGAAGTCCTGCTCTTTTCTTGTATTCTTAAAATTTGTCTTTGACACATTTGAGCATCTTAAGTAGACTTATTTTATAGTTCTTCATAGTCCCTGTATTTCTCTGGGCTGAGTTCAAGGCAAGGAGGTGGGGTGACCATACATGCGGTGTTTGTTGTGCTGCCTGAGGTTTGCTTTGTACTGACAGCTTCCTGTGCGCTTATACTCTTGGACTGCAAATTCATTTCAAGTGGGGTTTTCTCTGCAAAAAACTCTGGGCTGTGCTCCATGGGTTGAAAGTCCTTCTCTCTAGAATGATTTTGCTTTTGTTTCTGCTAGACACCACAGAGATGTTATCAGTCCGAGATCCTTGTGTTGATTTCTCAGGTTCAGGATTTTTGAACAGGTAAGTAGCATAGATTTAAAAAGGGCAAACCTCCCTCCCCTCCCTCCTCCCACTACCGGGCTTGGAGCACAGGCTGAGACAAACTCTCCACGTCAACTCTGCATCGGTGGGATTTTTTCAGTCTACTTTTTTCCTGATGGTGGTTGGTGGGTATTGAGCCTGGCCAATCCTTCCAGGGCAGCCCACTGTTGGTTTAAGTTACCACTCTCTTTTTAAAGCTTTGGGGTTTAAAAAACCTTTATTGTACAACGTTATGACACAGTTCATCTTCTTCAGGACACCTCCAGGTCCCCCCTTTCCGCCACCGCGGCATGGCCTGCACTCTGTGTGCTTACCCATCTCTGCCACTGGGCTGCTTACAGGCAAGAACCGTGTCCTCCTCCCAGGGCCTGTCACGGTGGCTTCCACACAGTGTGTGCTTTCAGGAAATGAAAGCACATATTAATCTTTCCCCATTGATTTATTCTTTAATCTCTTGACTACCTTTTTTCTCTTCTCTGAACTTTATTTTTTTTAAGTCCCCACATATCTCCTATAGGGTGGAGTATAATGCTGGGTGTAACAGGCCAACGTGGCCTGAACAATGATGAACAGGAGCCGCAGTTTACAGTTAACCAGGTGCAGATCACTTCCTATTCCGGTGGACCTGCAGTCTTTTCTCTAGATGCGCACGGAACAAGTTGGCCACTCATGCGAGATCCTCTCCCCACATGTATTGTGCACTAATCCTTTCTAACTTTTATTATTTTTGATCGTGGCCACATTTTATTAATAACTGTCTTTTTTAAGGACTTAGTTTTCTTCTCTCTCCAGATTGGGCACCCTATCAAATACAGTAAGTTTATTTTTTTTATTCCACCATATGAAGTACTGATGAAAACATTACATATTTTGCTCAAACTGATACAGAGAAAATGCTATTTAAATTATCCTTTTAACATCAAGCCACTAATTACACTTCTGTTTTCTGTGCATAAAACTTAGTAGGCAAATCCTGATTTTTTCCTAACTGCTAAAAGCATTTTATCAAACTGAATTAAAGGCCTTATTTCCAAGTCAAGATTTTATATAAAGAGCCATGGAAATAACACACTTCCTAGATGTTCTCTGTGAGCAGAAAGTTCTGCTGAGTGTTACTGGACTTCTTTTTTGTGACAGCAGCGGCACTGACACTCTAATGCAGACTTGATCCGCCCTCTATGCCAGTGTTAGTTCTAAAGACAGAGCAGTAGGGCAGCACGAACTGTCAAAAGAGCAACAGCAGCCCTGGCTGGCATAGCTCAGTGGATTGAGCGCGGGCCTGCAAAGCAAAGGATCGAGGTTCGATTCCCAGTCAGGGTACATGCCTGGGTTGCGGGCCAGTTCTCAGCAGGGGATTCACGAGAGGCAACCATACATTGATATTTCTCTCCCTCTCTTCCTCCCTTCCTCTCTAAAGATAAATAAATAAAATCTTAAAAAAAAGAGCAACAGCAGAACAGAGTTGAGACAGGGATGAATTTTCCCATGTGCCTAATAAGAGGTTTTGTTGTTATCCAATAATTTGATATTAAATATACATTTTATTTCCAAAATAGAATTTCAAGCGAATACATAAGGAGGCACTGAAGAAAACTGGTTATGAGGTATTAGAAGCAATGATAAGAATTATGAGTTGGTAATATAATTTGGGATAACTTTTAATATTATTTCTAAGGTTAGAATGTACCGCCTCTCTTTATCTATGAGATCTGTGACCCTGTAACAGAATATGTTCAAACCAGTTTGACAATTCAGAAGTTTGCAAATGTATTTCATTATTATTTTTCTAAGAATTTTTCCGAGTGCATAAGGGAAGCCTTCAGTTGAAGGTCACGGGCACCCTCCCCACCTGAACTGGCACACGACCCTTTGAACAGGCAGGTACCAGAAAAAAGTTACTATTCGTTTATTTGTACCCTCTCTGAACTGGAATACCATCTATACGTCAACAAACCTTTTTCCGTGCTTACCATTATCAGCTATTTCCAATAAGACCTTATC